TATATATATATATATATATATATATATCTTGTTCAAGTTTTCAATCATTAATAAATTACTTTCTATTCACCCATTTAAGTTAAAATACATTTTTTAAAAACTCGTAGTGGATGACACTTAATGTTAATACAGTTTTTTCAAATATTAATTCATCAATTAAATTAAAATATGAATGAATAGTAACAAACAAAATAATAGTCCAACAACATATGTAGCAAGGAAAATCACTGGTTGTGTTTCTGTAGCGCATTGGATAGCGCTTTGGACTTCAAAAATCCAAATGTTGTGGGTTCGAATCTCACCTGGGATTACCTAATTTCTGAGGATGTGGTTTCTCTTTTACTATAGCTTTTATTATAATAATTTAATGATGAATTAATAGTAACAATCAAGAAAAATTAATCCAACACCATAAATAGAAAAAAAAATGAAATGGAAAATTGCAAGGAAAACTGCTTTCTATTTTGCCACTTAATATTGGGATTAAGATTTACTTCTCCCAAATATTTAACGTATTAGCTTGAATATACTTACCAAACTCTGCCTATAGAATATATTTAATTAATACTCACTCGTACATCCCAATGAAAGTGGTTAAAATCCCTGCACCCTATTAGAAAGGAAATTACTTAACGTGGCTATTTTAATAACATAGTTTACTACTGAGAACATTTCATATAATTAAAACTATAAAATGGAAGGAAATGTAAATCATTAAAATATAATTTAAGTCACATATAAATTCCTTTAAAATTTATAAAAAGAAGATAGCTTCACTGTTCCCACTAAAACAGAAATGCACAATATCAAATCTACATTTTACTACAAAAATATTTCCATATAGGAATCGTTTCTATATTTTTGCTTGGAGTCTCTAAAAAAAATCCATGCACTTATTTTTTTCGTCAAAATTTCAAAAGCAATCACTATAGTATTCGAATAAAAGATTGAATATAAGTTCCACAAGAAATTCCACTCTTCAGAATCTTGTTATCATCCACAATCTTTTGAATTTATTCGAGAACTGAATACAAACCAACATTCTTCCTCGATATTTCTCAAGCTCTAACTATTCGTCTTTGAGGAAAGTATTCTTGGGAAAGAATAAAAGTGATAAAAACGGGAAAACCTGGAGAAATCGGGTTTCATTTCCAACTGAATTCCATTCTCATTTCCTTTTAACCCTAAGTCCGTTTTTGCCAAACTGGTTTCCAGAGATCCAGCAGATGGTTTGTATTATAAGTATGCAAAATAGCCTTCTAAACATACAAATCTCACTCTATTTAGAAAGGATCAGGTGCAAAGGCAGAGGCAGCGCTAAATAGAGTTTGAACTCTTCAGACAATGTTTCGTGTGATTTAATACCAGTATAGGAGAGTTTAAAATGTTTACAGTTTTATTTGTTTATTTGAAGGAAATACCAATTGGACTTTTACTGCTATTTCTTAGATAAATGTGAGCAAATTAAGTCTTTGTATGCTATAGTCATGATGATTAGTAGTCATTTGATCATTTGAGCACAGAACTCGTTTATAAATTGTAAATTACTATTTAGGGAAAATTACCACCTTAAATCTTCAAATTTAAAACTAGCAGTAATCCAATTCTTTTCAAAAATTGAAAGCGTACACTTCTTTTTCAAATCTTAAGGTATCCACGTTCGGAACCGTAATTTTAAAAAAGCGCATAAACGAATAATTCTCATGATATTTAAGGTCACTTAGATTAGAATACGTGTATAGAATTGTTTTAAGGACATTTTGACAAAAAAAAATTACTTAAATACAATATTTCGGCAAAAAATTAACTTAGAGTAACCTTTTTCAAAATCTTCTCCTTTTGTCAAAATTTCTTCTATTATAATAATATTTTGCCTGTATATAGATCAGACCTCTGTACAGAGGCTCAACTATGATCTTTGAAAAATTCACATTATTTTCAGAGTTACAACCCATTGAAATAATTATTGGCGTTTTTCTCTAAAAATTTCTCCCCTCTGTTGTCGTAAAACATGGATAAACCCACTTCTAAGTTACATATTTCAAAATTTTTTGTTAAGCCTCTGTACAGAGGTCTGAGCTATAGACAGGCAAACTATTATTGTAATAGAAGCATTTTTCACAAAAGGAGAATAATTTGAAAATGGATCATTCTATGTTAATTTTTTGTCAAAATATTGAACTAAAATAATTTTTTATTGTAATACTATTCTTAAAACAATTTTATATACATTTTCTAATCTAAGTGACACTAAATATCATAAATATTATCCATTTATACGCTTTTGCAAAATCACGGTTCCGAATTCTTTAGTCAGATACCTTAACCATTTGTTATTAAAAATATACAAATATGCTTTAATTGATGAAAATTTACATAATTTTTACATGCCAAATTGAAAATTGAATTTTTTTTATTTTAATCAATTTATAAATATATTATTATTCAGTTTTTTGATTTATGTATGTGTGAAATATAATATTGTGTATTAAAACGTAACCTCTCAAAGGAACAACTAATAAGCAAATATGCCTGAAAATATTTTTGAAAGTATTAAATTATGAATTAATATTAAAGTTATTAAATAAAATATTTACCAGTTTCTTAGTTTTTTTAGTGTTTTCCATTAAAAAAAAAAATAACTAGGTATCCATATACATTGCAGTTCCGTTCTTCTAATTTTGTTTAAAATCATAATACTTACTAATTATAGTGCATTTATTCATAATATATTAATTATTTTTATTTTTCAAGTGAATTTTTCAAAGAAATCATTAGCTGTTGTACGAAGTTATGTTTTAAATTAAAAATTATTGTACATATATTTTTCATATTAAAATTCTTATGTTTTCATTTTGTTCACCTGAATGTAATCAAGCAAACTTTATATGTAAAATATTTAAATTTATTTAAGCTCAAAATATTAACCATTATTAAACGTTTCTAAGTATATAATGACATAAAGAAAACAATATAGTCTAATTAAAATTAAGCTAATGATTTTATTTTATTTATTAACGTTGCCCTTTAATGTTGCGCATGGGCTGTTAGCTACGAACAGCATAATTTTGAACCTTGGTCAAGCGACGAAGACAAAATCTTAAATAAGCCTGTATTTTATAAAAGGAACTAAAAATAACTTTACAAATGTGTTCAAAATATACAGAAGTATTATTTTGAACAGTTTTATGAATACTATCTTAATTTGCGTTCCTGTTCAAAACTGTTTGGTACGAAGTATTTTCAAATAATGTATCGTTATACTTAATTATACGGCGACTTTATTATAAAGCCCCATATAATACACATTTGTAAAGCATTTTCGTTAATTTAATAAATTATACTACAAACAAACATATAATACAAAATATAAATAAATGTAACGCCAAAGTGCTTTTTTAATTATTTTCTTTTTACTTAAAACTTAAATGACACTTAAAAATAACTACATAAAAAGGGAAATTAAGTAAATTTTAAAAATTTTAAATGTGTTCAAGGTCAACGGAAGTCTTTTAGCCAACTGACAAAAAATATCCCGTTACATAAGAAGCTGAGTGAATTGTGTTTTTGAATGGTAGCAATTGTGATAGAATTTCCAGTTTCGCTCACACAACAGAAAGGTTTTAAAAATAATTGAAAACAAAAATGTGAAATCAAAAATCAGAAAAAGAAGTTGAATTTCTTAACCAAACAAAATTATACTGAAAGGAAAATTTAAAAATTTTTAAAATCATTCAATCGAGATAAGTGAAAAATCAATTGGTGAATATGGTAATGTCCGCTCAAAAAATATACCGGCATTCAATTGGATGTACTGACATTCAATATACTATACATCAAATACATTTTCTGAAAACTGACAATATGAGGGTTTGTTATAAATTTTCATTTAGTTCATACTTCGTCGAATGTTACAAGTGCTTATTAAATACGTACGAATAGATAGTGCTATGGATGAAGAGGGCTGTAGTATTTATTGAGGTCGTAGAAACATATTTTAAAATGGAGGCTACAAAAAAAATACAACATTCATAAAATTTCAAATATTAACTCAAAACAATTTGAAAATTTATAAATAAATAAAATTGTTTTTGAAAGCTTATTTTAAATATTGAATTTTCCATACTTAAATAACTAATTTATAAATTAAAATAAAACTATACATCTAAAAGGTAATTAAAAGTTACAATATTCTACTATCAGATACACCTATTATTATCTAGAAAACACATTTTACAGAAAAAAAAATAATTAAAGGAAATATCGATCACAAAAATCTTCACTACAATGATTCTTAAAAGGGTTACATTTTCGTTGATGTATTTAATTTTAAAACACTTTTAATCTATTCAAAGGTTTTGAAATC